CCCTGCTCCCGCCAGAGAACCCTTTACATTTGATTCAGGAATTGCGCTCTCGCCTGTGACTTCCACGCAATGTATTCAGACATGACGCTTTCGACGCTCAAGAAAAACGCTGCGCCAAGGACGCCGTTACAAAATACTTAGTAATCGTGCTCTCGCCATACTCAAGCATCCCGCTTGAATGTCCCACCCGCCCAACCCGCCCGTCAAGGGATCGGCCGCCCGTCGTGGGCTCCCACACGAGACTTCCTTCGGGAACGGCGCTTTCGCTTAGGACTTCCTCGAACGTCACGTTCTTACCTTCCTACGCCTCCTCCCTATCCCTCCTCCCTCCTCCCTCCTCTCCTCCCATTTTTCTCCCTCCTCTCTTCCCTCACCCTTACGCCTTTCTGCCTTATCCCTCTCTCCCTACTCTCCCTCCTCTCTTCTTCCTCCCCTCTCCTGACTCCTCCCTCCTTTTTTCTTTCTCTCTCTCTTCTCTCTCTCTCTCTCTTTCTCTCCTCTCTCTCTCTCTTTCTCTACCTCTCTTATTTGTCTTGTTTGGTTTCTCTCTCTCTCTCTGCCTCTAATCAACCGCCCCCCTCTTCGCTCCTTCTCTCCTGGCGTTTTCCCTTTTCCTTCGTCCCTCCCCCTCGTTTCCCCCCTCCTCTTTTTGCAGGGACCACACCAAGTCCAATGGCGGGCACATGTACGCCCACGAGGGACTGTCCGCCCGTTCAGGTTTGCCCGCCAGTCTAAGCCCGCCGCCCCCCACAAGGAGAAAGAATCCTCCCAAAGGGGCTGCGATCGAAGACAATAGGGCGGGTATCGAGAATTCGAGGGTGTGGGGAACTCGTTTTGAATGACACGCGGGCAAGTAAGAGCGAACAATCTTAGACTGATCGTTATTGTTGTTATTGGTGTTGTTGTTGTTGTTGTTGTGTTGTGTTGGGTCCCGGGAGGGGTCCTGGGTCAGAATGCCCCCCTCCCCGGGGGTCCCAAGTCCCAAAACCCCCAAAGACGAATCAAGACTGCCCCCAGAGGCCCCCAAGTCGGTCCAAGAGGGCCCCGAATCGCCAAACGATCGGTCCAAGACGCCAGAGTAGCCTCCAAACGGCCCAACAGGTTTCCACAGGCGCCCCGGGAAGCCTCCAAACGCGCTCCCAAGAGGGCCGCGAGCGGGAAACATGATTGATTGCCATTCCTGGAAAAGGTCTCTCCTGGAGCTTGGGCTTATCGCCTCTTCGGCCTCCCGACGCTCCAAGACGGCCCAGGAGGCCACCGAGATCGCCCGAGGTAGCTTTCAGTCGGGCCTGTCCCCCTACAGGGGGATTTTCGAGGAAAGATAACAAATACCCCAAAACATACCCGCAAAAGGTGAAAAAACATAATAATCCGCAGACTATTTTCGGACTATCTTTTGTCTACTCTTGGGGTGTATTTTTGATTCTTCGTCGACGATCCCCCTGTAGGGGGACAGGCCCGACTTCGAAAGGCAGCCCAGGGCCCAAGAGGGCCTCCGCGCGGGGCGGGGGCCTCGCCCCGGTGGGCGGCCGCGGCTCGCCCCCCCGCGGGCGCCCCCGCGCGCCGGGCGGGCCCGCCGGGGCTCCGCCCATGCGGGCGCGGCCGGGGCGCCCCGCGGGCGCCCCGCGCGCCGGGCGGGCCCCGCCGGGGCTTCGCTCGGTCGGCGGGCGGCCGCGGGCGCGGCGTGGGCGCCCCGTGCGCCGGGCGGCGAGTCCGCCGGGGGGTGCCGCTCGTGGTCGGCGGCCACCTGTCGTCGCTCGGACGTCCATTTCCCGTGCAGTTTTTCAGGTTTCGTGCTCGATGGTCCAGGATGGTCCTCGATGGTCCAGGATGGTCCTCGAAGTTCCATTTCCCGTTTTTTCCCTCGCCGAGAAAAAGTGCACACGCCCGAGCGATGCCAGGGCCATGGGCGCCTCGTGGGTGCCCCGTGCTGCCTGCATGGCCTGCGTTGCGCTGCCCACGGCCTACAGCACGCCGCCTGCGCACGTCCCAGCAGACAGCCTGCACCGCGCACAGCTGGAGCCACATGGACTGCGACGCGTTGCTGTTCACCGCGCTGCCTGCAACAAGCGCCGCTTGCCCCACTTTGCTTGCACACGCACGACTTGCACCCCATAGCTAGCACCACACTTGGCTTGAACCACATGGCTGACACACTCATATTGCAAGATCTCACCGTTCGGGGCCCACGCAGGCAAGGAAGATATCGGAGGTTGAGGGGTTTGAACGGACGAGACCCCAACTGGCAAGTCGGATTCGGTTTCTGTTCGTGTCGTGCGTGCGGGCGAGGCAAAGCTGCGCAACTTCCTGCATTTGCAGAGGCCACATGGAGCCCAAAAAGTCGCTGGCCCCCCCCCCCGCCCCTCCCCCGGCCAGGCGCGGCCCCCGATGGTTGTCCCGCGAGTTGTCTTGATGGCTGTTCCGATGGTTGTCCCGATGGTTGTCGCGATGGTTGTCCCGATGTTTGTCTCGACGGTTGTCCCGACGGCTGCCCCCCTGGTTCTCAACATGGATGTCACGATGGTTGTAGCGGTGGTTGTCCCGATGGTTGCCCCGATGGGCATCCCGATGGTTGTCCCGATGGGTGTCCCGATGGTGTTGTCCCGATGGTATTGTAACGGTGGTTTCCCCGACGGTTGCCCCGACGGTTGTCCCGATGGTTGTCCCGATGGTTGTCCCGATGGCTGTCCCGATGGTTGTCCCGATGGTTACCTCGAAGGTTGTCCCGATGGTGGTTCCGATGGTCTTGTCCCCATGGTGTTCTGACGATAGTTGTCCCGATGGTTGTCCCGATGGGTGTCCCGATGGTTGTCCCGATGGTTGACCCGATGGTTGACCCGATGGTGTGCCCGATGGTTGTCCCGATGGTTGTACCAACGGTTGCCCCGATGGTGGTTCCGATGGTTGTCGCGATGGTTGTCCCGTTGCTTGTCCCGATGGTTGACCCGATGGTTTCCCCGATGGTTGTTCCGATGGTTGTCCTGACGGTTGTCTTGATGGTTGTTCTGATGGTTGTCCCGATGGTTGTCCCGACGTACGGTTGTCCCGATGGTTGTCCCGATGGTTGTCCCGATGGTTATCCCGATGGTTGACCCGAATGTTGCCTCGATGGTTGTCCCGAAAGTTGTCCCGACGGTTGGCCCGATGGTGTCCCGATGGTTGTCCCGATAGTGTCCCGATGGTGGGTACAGAGATAGATAGGTAGATAGTCGGATCGCGAGATAGATAGATAGACCAATAGACATATCGACACATAAAGTGCCAACTCGACCGCCATCACCATCACCACCACCACCACCACCACCACCACCACCACCAACACCACCACCACCACCACCACCACCACCACCACCACCACCACTCACAACAATTTATACATATCTATAGAGATGCCGGGATATAGACATATATCTATATGTGTGTACGTATTTATATATGTGTATATCGAGAGAGATGGACACATCCATACATATGTATATATATATAGTTATATGTACACATATATACACATGTATATATATATACATTACACATATATCGACACACATCGATACACACATATGTATATATATATGTGAGCATTATGAAATGATAATTTGATATATATAGGCCAGATGATAGTTAGGACAGTTGAAGAACCCAACAAAGAACTCAGAGCCATCGCAAATCGACCGCCTCCCCTTTTCCCCCCCAACCTCCTTATCACCCGTAGGGTGGTCCTATCGGCACCATACTTCGGAGCTCTGGGTCTCTGGTGTCCTTCCCATGGGGGGCCTCTACTCCCCAGACGCCCTCAGGAGGCGCGAGAAGGGCGTACCCAGATCCGTCTCGTCGACTATCACGTGCGACGAACTATCCATACGAATGCCGTCTTCATGCCGATGCGCGATCCCGCGGACACGCGGTCCCAAAGATCTGTTCTCCGCTCACGGGATCTTCCAATTTATCCTCCTCCCACGTCTTGGGAAACCAAACGGCACCGATACCGCTACCCCCCAGACCTCTCCTGAAGTGCCTTCTGATCACAATTTCGACGCGAATCCGGCCTTGGCGACGAGAGCCTCCAAGGAGGCCCATCACGGCGAAAACGAGGCAAGGGCAGCAGTATTGGTAACTGCTTCTGCTTCAGGCGTCGCTCCATGCGGGGGCGATACATGGGGGGGGAAGAACTGTGCACTTCTCTGGCCCTGAAGGATCCCCCTTTGGGGGCCCTCTTCTGCGGCCCTCGCTGCCCGACCATGTCGCGCCCCCCCCCCCCCCCCATTCTGCGACGCCCAACTCCTTGGAGGGCCAAGACGTCCGTAGTGGACCGTGGGCCGACGGGGCGGGCGGCGAGGTCGCCGCCAGGCGCACGGCATCTTGGCCCCATGTGGCATGAGCGGAACGAACACACACACACATACAACAACTGTTAAACGTAAAGGTTCAAGTTGATTTAAGCTGACCTTTTTCACAAACTTGAGCCTGAACTTATTCTTGACCTGTTTAACCCCAACCCCAGATTGCTTGATCCGAAGACCATCGCCTAGACACCGACGCCTCGCCCGTCGCATCCACGGGGTGCATCGTCTATGCGTTCGCTGGAACGGGGGTCGGCGTCGGGCAAAGGGAATTTCAAGTTCTGGGCCCTGTGCACTCTTCCTGGGCGGAGGCCATGGAATCTCTGCCCGCTGTCACTCATGTTTCAAGCCCTATGCACTTCTTTTCGGGGCCGATGGGCTGTGCGCTCTGGTCGGGGATCTCCTGACCCGGGTCAACCTAGACCCGGGTCAGCCAGGGCTTGCAGAATCCTGCAAGATCCTGCAAGACCGTGCACCCAGACCAGGGTCAATGCGAAGGATCCTGCAAGATCCTGCAGGATCCTGTACCCAAACCCAGGTCAATGGGAGTCTGGCCCTGCAGGATCCTGCAAGATTTGGCACTCTGGCTGACTCCCGTTTGCATTGACCCCCGTCTCAAAGCTCCCGATCTGGCCGTGCAAAAAATTGTCCGGGCCCTGCCCCGGAGGCCCCCATGGACGCCTCCCGGCCGGGCCCGGGCGGGGGGCCACATGCCGCCCCGTGGAGCGTGGCCGAAGGCCCGCTGCACGGGGGGAGCGATTGGAGGCACGCGCCGAGGGCAGGCGGAGCGAAGCGGGGAGGTGCAGGGCGAAGCCTCCTGTCTGATGCCACGAGTTTATATGTATACAAAAATGTATGTATATAGTTTCATGTTTATTCATTGATTTATGGTATTGCCGCTATTAAGTAATATGATTCTTCTTCTTATTACTACTATTATTATTATTCTTATTATTATATTTATATATGTATATACAGATGTCTGTTTTTGGGGTCCCGAAGCAGGAGGGGACGCGCTGCGCCGGGCAGGCGCTGTTACGGAGAGCGCGGCTGCCAGCTGCTGGCCGAGCTCGGCGGCGGCGCCTAACAGCAGGTCAGGCGACCCCGATCCTCGACTCCTTGCGGGGTTTCCGAGCGGACCCGAAATTTGAAGCCAAACTCTGGGATACTCGACGGGGGGGCGTCCATCCACGATAGGGGTGCGTCCGCATAGCCCCCAGGGGGGGGGCATCCCCGAGTTTCTCCAGTGTTCCTGAGCGGCCGAATTTCTGGACGGAGCTCAGGGATTGGGGTCGATGAATCGCCTGCGAGCGCACTAGAAAACATACTCACGTGCCGTTGACGTGGCCGCCGAGGATCCACTCGAACGCAGGCGAAAAGCCATCAAAGGCAAAGCGTGCGCGCGTAGATTGAATTTGCGGTCGCTTGACGAAGTCGTCAGAGCTTCTAGCTGTACTGAAGCATCGCGGCTACGCAGGGGCCGATCATACGATATAAGTCGGCCCGAGCCTGTTGCAGATTGCTTTTGCTTCGTATTAGGCGCAGTCGTCTGTCGGGACGGGGCGCCATTGAAACAGGCCATCGCTTTCGAATGGGCAGGAGGGAGGTCGAGACGCAGCCGCTCGGCATTGTCAGAGAGCCCTCCCGCGGCGCGCTTTGACGCCACGCCGACAAAAACTGGTCATATCCAAAATCAACCGGGGTCGGCAAAGAGGGGGGTGTCCAAGAGGGGGGGGTGCAAATCATGGCCGGCGGCATGTGCGCGGCCCAGCGGGGGGGCCTGGGACGTAATGAAATAAGAAGAGGCGCCATGAAATCTGGGAAATATCATGGCCCCCGCCATGATATCCAACCACCCCTAGTCATCACCCCCCTCTTTTCCGCCCCCGAATCAATCGCTGGCCCTTCAGAATCGCCGAAGGGGCCATGGCTCGGGGTCCGTCGGGCTCTGCCGACGGCCAACCGCTCGCCTAGGACGGGAATGACGCCCTCCTGTTGATGGGCATGCTTTCCACTACCACCACCACCATAAGTTGGAGGGGGCAAACAGGAGGAGGAGGAGGAGGAGGAGGCGGAGGAGGAGGAGGAGGAGGAGGAGAAGGGGACCCCCTCCCCCTCCTACTCATGGTGGTGGTGGTGGAAAACAGGCCCATCATCTGTAGCTGATCCAGCATGCGTTCCAGAGATGTCCATGTTCATTTGCCGGCCCTCGCTCCTGCAGCCCGTTCTGAACATCCGCTGATCTCGGACATCCTGGAACGCATCACTATCGGGACCGCTTGCTCCGCTGATCTAAGGCCGTCGCGCCCCGCCGCCAGCCGGCCGCAGGCCGCGGCAGCCAGCGCTCCTAAAGCGACAGGGGCATGCTCGAGCTGGTGCGGTAGCTGCTCCCGTCCAGGCTGCTGGCGTTGCTGTCGGCAGCCTCGTCGCCCCCCTCAGAGTCCTCATCCTCCCCTATGGCGAGGCCAGAGCTGGTGCAAAAACTCGGGCCGAGAAGAACGATTTACCCCAAGACATTTGATGTCCTGATGTGGTCACAATCTGCGGTGCCCAGAAGTCTCGACCATTTCCCAAGGACCAACTTTTCATCCCGAGCCGCGTTTGAATGGTTCCTGGAGCCTGCTAAGGGCCCTCAGGGGCCGAAAACTACGAAAACCTCCTGTCTGTATGTTTTTCCAAACCTCCTGTGTTGGTTTCTCGTTGTTGGATAAAACACTGTGATCTCGCACTGAGGACTCCTGAATGGGAGATCCGTCGTTAAAAACTCATAATCCAGAACTAACAGTAAGGAGCCCTTGATACGGAATCCTTATGTAGAGGATCCTCAATAAAGTGGTCAATGTGTTAGTTGTTCTGTTGATTTTTGTGTTTGTTGTGAAGAGGGGCGTTTAGTAGGGAACCCTGAGCAAGGCCTCCTTGCCAGGGAACCCTCGCGAAAAGGAAATGATCCGTCATAAGACATGTTTCAGAATGGGTCTTACACAAAGGGGGCCTCAGGAAGGACACATGACTAAGGCATCCTTACTAGGAGATCCTCGGTAAGGTATCTGCGGGGTCGAAAGCTCAATGCGGTATCAGTAGGAAACAAGAACCAGTGGTAAGGAACCCTCAGAAAATAAATGTGACGAACGAATATTGACTGAGGAACCCTTGCGAATGATTGCTTAGTCGCGCCTCCATAGTAAGGGCTTCGTGATGGGGAATCCTTCGTCAGAACTATTACAAAGGACTCCTGAGCAATCCGTTGTAAGGCTCCATTCAATACAGAATAACCATTAAGGGTCTTGTAAAACGGTGTCCGCCATGAAGGATCCCCAGTAAAGCATCCTCTAATATGAAATATGGCGTGAAGTCGCCATACTAGGGAACCCTTTACACAGGAATCCTTGATAGTGACTCGTGCTTACCCTGAATAAGAAAACATGAATCAGGACTCCTTATGCAGGAATCCTTGTTCAAGAATCTCTCACAAAAAACTCAAGATCATATCACACAATGGACCTTAGAAACAAAAACAGGTGGATCCTCAGTAAGGCATCCGTAATACGGAATGCTTAAGAACGTATCATTGGTAAGATAATCCTTATTGAGGGCCCCCCCTGCACCAAAACTGACGACGAACCCTGACACCAGAACCCTTGCGAATGATTCCTTCGTCGCGCCTCCTGCGTAAGGGAGTCCTTGGTACCTGTGTGGGTTCTTTCCAGGGGCTCCTGACTGGGAAATCCTTATGAGGAGCCTGTGAATAAAGAAATGTCCTTCAGGAGCCCATAGTAAGGCATCCTCACTCAAGAATCCGGTTGAAGGGTGCTGAGTGGGGAACCCAGGTCCGCATTCCTTACTAAAGGAACCTCACCCAGGACCTCTTGATAGTGATCCCTGACAACCCTAAGCTGGACTCCGTATGAAGACATTTGTATTTAGGGATATGACATAAAAGGGCCCTTAGAAACGAACCCTTCCTAAGGTATCCTTACAAAGGGATCCTTCGTAACGTATGGGAGGAGTCCTCCGTAACGAATCTTGACTCGGGAACCCTTACGAATTGTTCCTTAGTCGCGCCTTCTTAGCAAGGAGTCCCTGGTCGGGGACCCCGAGTAAGGAGTTCTTACAAAGGAGCCCTGGGGCGGCGGTCCTTCGAAAGGGCCCCTGAATACGTAACCTTTGCCAAGGAACCCCTGACAACGAGATCCTGAATAAGGGATCCTCATTAAGGAATCCTGTCATCGCTTCCGAAAGCAAATTTAGAGGGGACCCCGTTCGTAAGCAACCCGTATTAAGGAATCACCAGTAAGGAATCCGAAGGTACATTGCATGCGACGCCCGGTGCCTTATAGTTAGCGTAGCGCCGTAGAATAATCAGCCTCCTTCTCATAAGCCCCCCCCCCGCCGCCAAATGCAGTCAGGAACGTTGGCTTCAGGACAAACTTGTCAACGTTTTCTTATTCGGCGTTTCGAACTTGGACAGAACAGGGGGGGGTCTGGCTCCAGACCTCTGCTTAGTGCGACTGCTTGCAACAGCGCGTCCCGTGGGGGAGGGACTCCACCTGCGCGAACCACGCGCCAAAAGCAGCCAAGATCTACTCCAGGGAGGGGGGGGGGGCGAGGGCCGGCGCCGATCGGCAAAACCAGGAATAAGCAAACGATCACCTTGGCGTCCCACTTCTTTTCCTGTTTTCGCCTGCGCGCTTCGGCGTATGGCTAGGTCGGGCGTGTCCCCCTACAGGCGGATATTGAGCGGGAAAAAAAGAAAGAACCCCCAAATAATCAAACATGTTACAACAAATACCCCACAAATCGCTCCGAGACTATTTTTTGACTATTTTTGAAACATTCCTCCTGTAGAGGGACGGGCCCGACTTAAGCGTATGGCCTGGCGCAGGCGCAGCGCCAAAAGCAGCCAACATCTACTCCTGAGAGCCCTCCTCCTCTCCCTCTGCGGCATGGAAGCCTCCCATGCCATGTTGCTGGCTCTTGCGAATCGACGCTGACCGATTGCTCGACGACGCGCTTGCCACCGGACGCTGCACTGACGCCACAGCGGCGCTCTCTCGGGGACCACTGGCCGCCGGCGCACGCGCGTATACGTGCTCCAAGGGCGGAACTCCGAGCCCACACGAGGCTCACCTGAGTTGCTGCCGAACTCCCCCAGAATCGCATAGAATACTCCTCCTCCTCCTCCCCCTCCTCCTCCCCCTCCTCCTCCCCCTCCTCCTCCTCCTCCCCCTCCTCCTCCTCCTCCTCCTCCTCCTCCTCCTCCCTCCTCCTCCTCCTCCTCCTCCTCCTCCTCCTCCTCCTCCTCCTCCTCCTCCTCCTCCTCCTCCTCCTCCTCCTCCTCCTCCTCCTCCTCCCCATGAGCTTTCGCGAGGCCCGCGCGGATTTCTTGGGTGGGCGCTGGACCTCCCCTGGCGCGGCGCCTCCAGCGCGCTCTCCGCACGCCGGAGGCGAGCCCAGAATCGCGTAGAATACTCCTCCTCCTCCTCCTCCTCCTCCTCCCCCTCCTCCTCCCCCTCCTCCTCCTCCTCCTCCTCCTCCTCCTCCTCCTCCACCTCCACCTCCTCCTCCTCCTCCCCCCTCCTCCTCCTCCTCCTCCTCCTCCTCCTCCTCCTCCTCCTCCTCCTCCCAGAATCGCGTAGATACGTCAGACCGGCGATCGAAAGGAGTCGACTCGGCTATCGACAGGAAATCAGCAGGCCAGTAGGCCTCCACTGGGAAATCGGACTGCGGATCGGAGCCCCGAGTCGGACCGAATGGGAATCGGAGACCATCGGAATCGGGTCGAAGCAGAGGCATCGAAAGGAGCCCTGCCACAGGATAACAAGGCCCGCTCAATCGGCAGAAAATCGGCAGGCTGGTAGGTCTCCACTGGGAAATCGGACTGCGGATCGGAGTCCCAAGTCGGACCGAATCGGAATCGGAGACCATCGGAATCGGGTCGAAGCAGAGGCATCGAAAGGAGCCCTGCCACAAGATAAGATGGCCCGCTCAATGGGCAGAAAATCGGCAGGCTGGTAGGTCTCCACTGGGAAATCGGACTGCGGATCGGAGTCCCAAGTCGGACCGAATCGAATCGGAGACAATCACAATGGGACCGAAGCAGAGGCATCGAAAGGAGCCCTGCCACAGGATAAGAAGGCCCGCTCAATCGGCGATAATCGGCAGGCTGGTAGGTCTCCACTGGGAAATCGGACTGCGGATCGGCGTCCCAAGTCGGACGGGATCGAATCGGAGACAATCGCAATGGGACCGAAGCAGAGGCATCGAAAGGAGCCCTGCCACAGGAGAACAAGGCCCGCTCAATCGGCAGAACATCGGCAGGCTGGTAGGTCTCCACTGGGAAATCGGACTGCGGATCGGCGTCCCAAGTCGGACGGAATCGGAATTGGAAGCCATCGTAATCGGATATAATCAGAGGCATCGAGAGGAGCCCTGCCACAAGATAACAAGGCCCGCTCAATCGGCAGTAATCGGCAGGCTGGTAGGTCTCCACTGGGAAATCGGACTGCGGATCGGAGTCCCAAGTCGGACGGGATCGAATCGGAGACAATCGCAATGGGACCGAAGCAGAGGCATCGAAAGGAGCCCTGCCACAGGATAAGAAGGCCGCTCAATCGGCAGTAAATCGGCAGGCTGGTAGGTCTCCACTGGGAAATCGGACTGCGGATCGGCGTCCCAAGTCGGACGGAATCGGAATTGGAAGCCATCGTAATCGGATATAATCAGAGGCATCGAGAGGAGCCCTGCCACAGGATAACAAGGCCCGCTCTATCGGCAGAAAATCGGCAGGCTGGTAGGTCTCCACTGGGAAATCGGACTGCGGATCGGAGCCCCAAGTCGGACCGAATTGGAATCGGAGGCCATCGAAATCGGATCGAATAAGAGGCATCGAAAGGAGCCCTGCCACAGGATAAGAAGGCCCGCTCAATCGGCAGTAATCGGCAGGCTGGTAGGTCTCCACTGGGAAATCGGACTGCGGATCGGAGTCCCAAGTCGGACCGAATAGGAATTGGAAGCCATCGGAATCGGGTCGAATAAGAGGCATCGAAAGAAGCCCCGCCACAGGATAAGAAGGCCCGCTCAATCGGCAGAAAATCGGCAGGCTGGTAGGTCCCCACTGGGAAATCGGACTGCGGATCGGAGTCCCAAGTCGGACCGAATAGGAATTGGAAGCCATCGGAATCGGGTCGAATAAGAGGCATCGAAAGAAGCCCCGCCACAGGATAAGAAGACCCGCTCAATCGGCAGTAATCGGCAGGCTGGTAGGTCTCCACTGGGAAATCGGACTGCGGATCGGAGTCCCAAGTCGGACCGGATCGGAATTGGAAGCCATCGGAATCGGACCGAAGCAGAGGAATCGAAAGGAGCCCCCGCCACAGGATAAGAAGGCCCGCTCAATCGGCAGAAAATCGGCAGGCTGGTAGGTCTCCACTGGGAAATCGGACTCCGGATCGGAGTCCCAAGTCGGACCGAATTGGAATCGGAGACCATCGGAATCGGACCGAAGCAGAGGCATCGAAAGGAGCCCCCGCCACAGGATAACAAGGCCCGCTCAATCGGCAGAAAATCGGCAGGCTGGTAGGTCTCCACTGGGAAATCGGACCTCCGGATCGGAGTCCCAAGTTGGACCGAATCGGAATCGGAGACCATCGGAATCGGACCGAAGCGGAGACATCGAAAGGAGCCCCCGCCACTGGGTAAGAAGGCCCGCTCAATCGGCAGTAATCGGAAGGCTGGTAGGCCTCCACCGGGAAATCGAACTGCGGATCGGAGCCCCAAGTCGGACCGAATGGGAATCGGAGACCATCGGAATCGGACCGAAGCAGAGGAATCGAAAGGAGCCCCTGCCACAAGATGAAGAAGGCTTGAGCAGGGACCGACCGTCCCGGCATTCCTATAGTCGTACCACCAAATGTTCGTAGAACCCAAACATGTTCTAAGAACCAAACAAATTCTTAGAACAGAAACCCGATGTGTTGAACCAAGACAAATTCCGCCAGAAATGCTCTACGAACATTTCGCGGAAGCCACAACAGGTTCTTAGAACATTGTTTGGTAGGTCTATAGGCGAGCCAGGACGCTTCGCCACTGCTTGAAAGGCCCGCTCTCCCGCCCAGCGGCGGCCTGGAAGGGGAGCGCGGGCGACGACGACGTGCGGGTCAGCGTGGGCGCCAGGCTCGCCCTCGCCTGGCCCGCTGCTTCAGGGACCGGGACCCTCCTCCTCCTCCTCCTCCTCCTCGTGGGTGCCAGCTCCCAGACCGGCGAAGGACGAATCCATGCCCAATCCCGAGATCGCGGGTTCAGCGAGGGTTTTCCAGCATCGGAGGAAGCTTTCGAGACATGGTCCGAGTTCGTCGCTGTCCCCCTGAACACGGGCCCGAAATCCCCCTTTTGCAATCTCGAGGGGCCTGCGTTTTGTTTTGGCCCTCGCGTTGTCGGGGTGGGACGTAGGCTTGACCTTATGTATATATATATATATACACATAAATATATGTATATACATATATGTCTGTCTGTCTGTCTGTCTGTCTGTCTGTCTCTGTCTTTCTGTGTGTCTGTCTGTCTGTGTGTCTGTCCGTCTGTCTGTCTGTCTGTCTGTCTGTCTGTCTGTCTGTCTGTCTGTCTGTATGTTTGTATGTATGTGTACATTTACCTATGTGTATATATATATATATATATTATGTACTAAGGGGAGTCGCAAATCAATCGACACACATCCGAGGACGCCAGATATTTGCCAAGATTGTCTGACAGTTCCTCTTCCCGAACAGTTTCATTTCCCCACAGTGTCATGGAAATCGGCGTTTGCTGGTGTTTGTGCCAACTTCCCCCCCTTGCTCCAGGGTGGCCCCTTGACGCGGGCAATCATTCTGCCCATATCCACTGCAACATGGAGTTCCAGGCGTCCTTCCCCCAGAACCCGAGGCGCACTGGATGTGGATAAACTTGCCACTTGGAGGCTAGGTTGATATCCATATTCAGTGCGCCTCGGCCTTGTGGCGCCCCTTCCAAGAGAAAGCCAAGACGCACTGGAGATGGGCCTTCCCCGCACTCGAGGCGGACTTGGCGGCGCACCCAGCGGGGGGAACGCGATAGGGGGCAGGCCCTGTGTGGCAGGCGGCGGGGGCCGCTCTCGGAAGGCCCCTCGCGCCTTCCGAGACGCCCCCTGCGGCTTCGGAGGAGCAGCCCCAGAGAGCCTCTCCGACGGACAGGGGCCTGCCGGGCCTCCTGAGGAGGCCCGCCCCGTCCGCCGCCCTCTGGGAGGCGCCCCCGGTACAACCGGGCTGGACCTCAACGTTGTGTTTTGTTTTGTGCTTTGTTTGCTGTTCGTTTTGCGCTACCTGGTTTCGTGCACCTCCCCCGCCAAAACGGAAAACACAACACGGCCGAGGTCCAGCAAAACAGCGTTTAATTCAAGCCCTGCGGTGCAACTCCAACGGCGACCCCCAGAGGTCTCGACCCCTTCCCCAGAAGGCTCGACCCCCAGAGGGCTCGACTCCATCATGAATCGTTCTTTGAGGCCCCCCAAGCCTGGAGGCCGAAAACCACCCGTCGTTTTTTTCCACCGCGCGAGGGTTTTGAGATCCGACGCTGCGAAACAATTCCAACGTCGCAACAAAATCTCGAGTAGAGCCCGGACGCCTTTTTGGAGCCGGATCGATTTGAGAGGTTCCTGGGGCCCGAAACGGGGCGAAAACGCACGTTGCGGAACAAACAACAACGCTAGGATTTCATGGAGGGTATGGGGAAGGCGAAGGAGAGGGTGGGCCAGATTTCGGCCGAATTGGATGTGCTCAATCCTGGCGTTTCTCCAACACTTCGGCCGCCCACTGGGGGGGGTGCTTGCGGGCCCAGGGGACAACGACGAAAGAGGATGCTGGATGAAGAGCAGGCCCCCTGTTAAAGAGGCGGAATCCCCCAGCACCGCGGATACATTCAACCCAGACCCCCTCGCTGTGTGAAAATGCCCAGTGACGTACCCAACCCAGGTGCGTCAGGCGGCAAAACGAGCAGACCAACAGAAACGTGAACAGCGACAGAGCAGACGCAGTGAATTGTTGCGAAACCTGCGGAAGATGCGCGTGCGTCGCGCGACCCACTGGACAACGATCGAAACGACGATCATTCGGGCTTCAGGCCCGGGGAATAACGGGGGCGGGAGCGAGGAGTTGGATAACTGCGGAATGGGGGGCCGAAAAACCAGTGCGGCAGCAACGGCAGCAGGGAAATGGTGACCAGAGGAAGAGGACGACGACCAAAGTGGCGGGGTGAGACCGAAAAACGCCGCTGTCTTTCAGTAGCATGCTGAACATGCAACGCTGCCTGCGCCATGTCGCTGCGGCGTTCCAACAAGGCAAAGGCGAGCGATGCCGAGCCCGCCCGCTAGCTTGTCCGCCTCCTGCCTGCAACCTTCCGTGCGGGAGCCGAACGCCCGCAGGCGCGCCGCCAAGTCTGCGGGCGGCCGCGGGGAAGAAACTCAAGACCGGGGTCGCGTATCATCAATACGTTTTCCACCGCCGTCGCCGTGGACAGCATCACGTGGAGGTGCATCCTGAGGGCGCCCAGGCACCCTGGGTCCTTGCACCTTGCGTCAACAATGATTATGTAGGGTACGGTGCGGACCTAGCCGGCAGTGGACGTCAGCACCTCGGCGTGGGAGATGACGAAGCCTGCGCGCGTGACTTTCTGCTTGCGGAGCGGGTTACTCCGCTGGGCCGCCAGCTGCCATCGAAAATAGCGACATTTTCGCCCTTCGCAAACCCCGACAGATCGCGGCGTCTAATCTGAAACTGGGTGGCGCCTCGTTCCGCAGGACCCCCAGCAGCACTCGGAAAGGGCGGCGAGATCTTCGCAGATCGCAACCTCCCAGGGATTGCGAAGTCCACTCTGAGCCTGGGTGCTGCCTCACAACGCTGGACCCCCTAGACGCAGTTGAACGTGGCGACATGTTCGCAACTCGTAGCCTCCCAAGGATCGCGAGGTCTAATCTGAATCTGGGTGGTGCATCATTCCGCTGGACCCCCACCAGCACTCGAGCGTGGTGAGAGCTTCGCAAATCGCAACCTCCCAGGGATGGCGAGGTCCAGTTCGAGTCTGGGTGGTGGCTCACTCCGCTGACCCCAAGCAGCCCTCGAATGTGGCGACAGCTTCGAACGCCCCCGCCCCCCCCCCCAGATCGCAGACCCCGCAGAATGGCAAGGGCAAGCCAAGTGAAAGGCAGAAGAGAAGAAGAGGGGCGACAAGGAGGAGAGGAGGCAAGAGAGGACAGGAATTCCAGGATTTCCGCCATCACGCAGTGATAACCAAACTCAAAGCTCAGCTCTCGGGAGACAGGCCGCGTCCAACCTGGTCGATATCTTCGCGCCTGGCCTTTCGAACGGGCGCTCTGCGCGGCTCTGCTAGCCCCCTGTGCTGCGCCTGACCGAAAAAGCCGCACGTGCCGCAGTGCCACACGTGAAGGTCTTCATGGTAAATCAAGGCGTGCGTTGGATGGGCCCGCCCCCCAACCAAAAAATGAACGCCGCCCTCTCGGAACACGTGCCCATTGACTACCCGCGTGCTGGAGCTGGAATGACTCACTTTGTAACCGCCCCGACGACGCCGCCTTGGTCGCAGGGCCCTTTCCACGCGCTGCGCGCCCTATCATTTTCGGCCAGGGCGTAGGCGGGCGCGAAGCGTGCAACAGCTATAGGGGGAGGGGGGGGGGGGGGGGCGGCACGGGCCCCGAGCGGACTGAGGCCCCAGCCTCCCCAGGCAACTGAGAAGCTTGAGTTGAATCTAAACCGACTCTTTGGGGGCCTCCTCCGAACAAGCGTGGCCTTATGTTCATTGGGCAAAACCTGGCGGCGACTGGCCCGTGAAACCCGCGCGCGCGGCAGACTCTCCTGCGAGGACGTCGGCTCCAGCGCTGCCGACCGCGAGCCAGCGTGGACTCGACGGACAAGCAACTCGCCCGCCTCGAGATTCGAGGGGGCCTGCAATATTACAAGACTGTTGGGGCGCCGAGCCTGACGCAACAGCGGCTTGCCCACCGCTCTCCAGAGGTCGGCCTGTGGCCCGTCGGGCCCGCGGAACAGCTCGGCGAGCCACCCCCCCGCTGCGTCGGCGCAATATGTCGCGCGCGCGGGCGCGCCATCGAGTCATCGAGCGTCGGAGTGCCCAAAGGAATGCTAAATGCTCGCCCCTACTAACACTCTGGGCGCGCCCTGGGCGCGGCCCCGCGACGCGCGGGCCAGGCGCGGGCGGGCCGTAGCTATCGACGCCAACGACAGCCAGGCCTACCCCGCGGAGCCGCGAGTCGCACGCGCCCCTGCCCCCCGAGGCGCTCCCACACAAGGCCAGGGGCTCCGGGGGCGCGCCTGGCCCCGGACAGCCCTCGCCCAAAGTCCAAGCAGGCTGCCCCAGAGAAAAAGCTCTTCGGAAAGGGGGGGGGCTCGGGCCCAGGGCGCAGGGGCGGGGCCCCGCATCTAGAAGCAAGGGGGAACGTCAGACTCGGAAGTGGCCTGGGGAAGCAGCTCGCTTTCATCTGCATGCGCCTTACACGCGGAATCGGCGTTCGCCTCGCATGTCCAACATCTGCCGCGAGATGTCCCGGGTTCCTGTCCGAGCCTCAAGCGCAACTCCGAACTGCGCATGCTGGCCTGGATGCCCCTCTGTCGCGCCCAAAAGCCCCCCGCGGCAATGGGCGCGAGCAACTCTCACAGCTGCCTGCCCTGCTTGACGTCCTGAAGGTCGCGAATCATGGGCCGAAGAGAAGCGCGGTCGACTCATTGGCCCGCTCCTTCTCCACAGAATTGCGACGTGACCGCGCGCCGCCGCAGACGCCCTCGCGTCCGCTGGTGCGAGCGCGCCATCGAAGATCCATCGCGCGGCACTTCCCAGTGCGTCGGCGGGGTCGGCGCCCAGCCTGCCTCCAGCGAGCGCGCGATAACTGTCGTCGTCGGCCCTCAAATCTGGCGAGCTCTCTGACCGGCGGGAAGGCCCAAAAAAGATGAGCGACCGCGGTCGGCCACGCCCGCGCGATCGAAGGTCGGAGATGTGGGCTGGTCACGCACGTGCTCAACCGTTGAGAAAGACACTGGCGCGGCAACTGCGCTCCCGGGGCGCTGCCTAGGAGCCCGAGCGCCGACAGCGTCGTCGAGCATCGGCCCCGCTTCGCCGACCCAGCCGCTGCGCCAAGCCGTCGG